CCCACCAACAATTCATGTAACCATTTATTATTATTACTATTATTATTATTATTATTATAACAAGATACTATTTTTTTGTAGATAAAGATAAAGTCAATTTTAAATAATATTAAATAGTTATAAATTTATCTACTCAAGTCTCTAATGCAATTTAATACTGATAAACAATCACTCTCATAAAAGGATTTTTTTTAATTATTTAAAGTTATACACTTTTCTAATTAAGTTTAATGTTGTATATGTGATATTTAGTTTGACAATTTTTACTTTAGATTAAAAGTTATTTTAGATTGGAGTTTATTTCAAATTAATTGAAACTTATTTTAAATTAGATTTTAAAAAAATAGGTAGATTGGTGAGTTGACCTATTTAACCCATCAACTAGTGGTGTGTTAGACTAGATTAGAAAATTTTGGACATTAAGGTTGGTGATCGAGTCAGATCAACCCACTTAAAAAGTGAATTGAGGTAAATTAGGTCAAATGTATCGAGTTGACCCGTTTTGTCAATCCTATGATTATCCTTAAATAAAGACAGTTTTATTTATATTTGAATCAAATAAATCTACTATAAATAATAAAATATATTTTTCTCTGAATATTTAATGTAACTTTATACTTAGTATTCAAATTCGAAATCACTAATTAAAATGAAATAATCTTGTACCAAACTGATCAGGCACCAAGTGGGTGTGTGGCGTCATTGTTTCTCTTATTTATGCGCTAGTTTTCTTAATGAATTAAACAAATAAACAGTTCACACTATGGATAGTGCAAATTCGATGTTACATATGAGGCAAAGGACCACATAGTCTTCTTCACACGATATGGTGGATGCTGTGCACGTGTCCACATGAGCATGGTTATGCCTTGTGTCTGCTGCTTGGTATGAACATAAATAGGGATAACACACTTAGGGTTTGGCACCACCTAAAATTTGCATTACAAGTCTTAGTCATAGGGCGTTATTGCATGCATAAAGAGGGGCACACACCTATGAACAATGACCCCTTGGATGCCCAAAGTTCATCAGCCTCCAAAGTTTAGGACCACCATTGGCTCAGTCAAGTCTAGCCATGATGTTGATCGAGCATATACATGCATGCAAATCATGTGGATAAACCCAGCACTAGCACCTGACATTGTCACAGCCACACTTTATTATTCAATCCATGACATAATGCATGAGCTTCCACCCACTCAGAATATATTTGCTAGCTTCTAAATTTAGTTTATTTGCAATGTCCATTCATGGAAACCGTGCTTATTTTACTACCTTGCTTCAAAAACAAGTGTATAGGAATGTATTAGTTAATTAAGATAGTGCTTAGTCTATTTCATTTTTAGTTTTAAATTTTAATCACTATGTATTCTCGGTTGAAAAAATTTTATAGTCATTCAATTAAAAATTATCGTTAATCTTTTTTTTTTATAGACAATTTATATATATCTCAAAACTAACAATCAAAGATGAATTTATGTTCATAAAAAATCACTTTTGTTGACTAAATATAAAATCATTATTAATATGATTTGTAAAATTATTATTTTAAAAACTAACAAATTTATCAAATATATATATATATAGATATATTTTGATTGTTTTGAATAACAATGTATTACATTAGAGTATTTTTTTTTCTTTAGATTTTTCTTTTCCTTAAAAAGGCATTTCTAAAAGATCTTAAAAAATTAAATAGCTTTCTTTTATAATATATTTTTTTCAAATAAAGCTAATGAAAAAAAATTAAGTTGACTTCTCTTTTATTTTTTTTCTTTATCTTTGCTCTTCTCTCTCCCCCGTTCACTCCCTTTCCATGTTCTTAATTTTTCTGACTAGTGTCAGGTTATCTATATTTCAGGATAAAAGAAATAAAAACCATCCAACAACTTCTATTTTATCTTTTAAAAAAATTATTTTGAGTTCTAATTATAAACTGACTTTTAACGTGTTAAAAAAAAAGTTTAATTGGTTACACACACCTTACGAATATGTAATGACACATGGCTGCAGTAAAAAGATCATATTAATTTGCATACTTTATTTGTGTGGAAAAAAATCACACTACATATAATTCAACTATTTGTGCACTAATTTATCCATTAAAAAAATAAAATAGTGATGTGGCAACAATCATATATATCGTATTACTGTACTAGTGTTTTGGTAGCCATGTCTTAAATGACAGATTTGACAATGCGGCTACATAAGATTTTTAAGCTTTTGTGGAGGACCATGAAACCTACAAGGCCCATGTGATGCCATATGGGCAACTCAGCAATTTTTAGCAACAAGGAAGAATTCTGTTGCCTCTGGTAACACAATAGGGGTATAATTATACGACAATGATAATGATAAGTGAGACTCTTGTGGTCCTAGCAAAGTTGAGGAGCTTTTTAAAGGCCCAATCATTTCTGAAGTGACCTAAAATCAAAGGGTATGCCTTGTGGTGAGGTTAGAGTGCTGATGGAAAAACCCTAATGGATCATGCAATCATCTACTATAATTGTAACTACTAACTAATCATGGACCACTTTGAGACAAAAAAGTACAACTAAGGTTTCAAAAGATAAATAGTAGGTTGAAAAGAAATCATGTTTATCCTTAGTGCCTCATCAAATAATGGTTATGCAGTTTTCACTAATTATTCCCAATCTCTCATCATCTAGGTGATGAATATTTTATAAAAAAAATGAAATATAGATTGTTATTGAGAATTTTTATAAATGTGAAATATTTATTAGTTTTGACAATAACAAATCTCTGTCAAAAAATTCTACTGTCCGATAACTTTTAAGTAGAATTCCAACTCTCGCATGTATGTTTTTTATTCGCAATACTGAATTTCAGTAAGAATTATATATGATTACAAAACAAATTAATTAATTTTGACTTTATTACATATACAAAGTGCCTTTGGTTTTTGTTATGCTATAAGATTAAGGATAATTAAATAACAGGAAAATAAATAAAGAATGCGTGGAAAATGTAGGAGACTAAATAAATGGTTTGGATGAAGAATCTGAATAGGGAATGTTAGGAAAGTAAACTCCAACCCTTTGAGAGAATAATAAAGAGCAGGAGCATAACTCACTATTAGCTGTCATTCCTAGATTCTTTTCTTCATAGATCAAAAGATCTTCATAAATTTTGTATATGTGGATATATATATATATATATATATATATATATATATATAACGAAAACTTGAATTTTTTTATTTTTTCACAAATATTATCTTATCTTTGTTTTAATATTTAGTTTCCTTTTTAAATATTTATATAGAAAATGATAATCATCATGGGTTAACACACAAATGATTCAAGATCGAGTTAGACATTATTAAAATCTTACTTTGATAAGTATGATACAAAACTAAAAAAAAATTGTTGAAATGTTTAAGAAAAATTGACTCATTTTTAAATATTAAAAATATCACAGAATCTATCTTATTTTATCTTTGTGTGTGTAGTGTTACTCTAATTAGTTATGTGTCTCTGAAGGGTTAATAAATAGAGAATATATATATATGTTGTTCTTGTCGGTCTTCATACGCATTCGTACACACAAAAAGATACATTCGTTAGGCATCAAATCGGCTTTACGCTAAGTTTAGGAGATAACAGCTTCTACTTAACGGTTCACAACCGTACTTCTACTTTATATATAATTTAGAAAGTGTGTGTGTTTGAACTTTATGTTATGATAAGAAAGAAAGAAAGAAAGATCGATCCAGTGTTAATGATGTGCCCCAATACCCTTCATTTTTCCAAATTGATACTCTACAAACCCACATAATATAATAATAATTGTGAACATATATGTAATGTGACCTAACATACATATTTATATCCCCATAATTTATTGAGTCGTGTCCAATTGGTAAATATATTTGTATTTTTTAAGTTGTGAAATTTACTCTAACTCCCGAAACCCCATTCACATAAACTTTTTTTTAACCAAAATTAAAAATAATAATAATCTCGTGAGCCATGATGATATCATTTAAAAATTAGGTCAAAAGAAACACAACTATGACATATTTGAAGAGAATTTAAGTAATAAATTGTTTTATCAGCTAAGATTACAACAAACAATAGTAAGATTCAAATTTTGAACATTGTTACTCAAACTTCACGATATTGGGTTGACCATAATGATTTTTGAATTAAATATTAATTGTGTGGATGAAAAGAATTATGTGATGTTTAATTAATTAATTAATGATTGGGTAATCATGTTGAAAATGAGGTCCTTTGTGAGCAGAAAAAAAAAAAAAAAAAGGCGACACACTTCACTACATAAAAGTACCTAAAATTGCCTTTAAGGGTGTCCAATTATTCCCAATGATGAGTACCAACATAAACTGAACAGCTGCTCCTTTCATGTAACAGTCTCAGCAACGTCTAAAGCTTGCAACCCCACTATGTTCACGTGGACTCTCGTGATCTACGTGGGAGCAAATCTTTCATTGATTGACTTTCTAATTGTTGTATTCATAGACACCTTTTCCTCCATTCGTTAAATAAATCAAAAAACATAATTCCCTCGATAAAAAGGCTACATGCACACTAATAAAAATGTTATTGGTACTAAATATTTATTGACTCAATCCATCATTTATATCTTTAAAAGAATTTAATTGACTGATTTATCTTTAATAAGAGTTTTTCATTATAATCATAAAGTCTAAAATATTATTTAAAGAGATCGAGTTCAATTTTACTATAAAAAAAAAATAATAATAATAATAATAATAATAATCTACTCATTAAATTAAGCAAAAGAGATTCTCCCAAACTAAACCCCTTGGCTATTTTGGTGCCCTAGGGTCACCCTATGCAATCATATTTTATTATTAAAAACGTTAGGCCCCACAAATCTAGATTCTGTGCCAAAGCCGAACGAACCCATGTCATAACCCAACTTTTAACTCTTCCACTCCCATGGAGTATTTTCCCCTTGTTTTATTTGGCCTCATCCTCTTTTGACACACATATATATATACCCTACCACCCTTCCATTCCTCAACAACAACCAAAACCTCTTCTAGAGCCCCTCTCTCTCATCATACCCATATATAAACCCAAAACTCAACATCATTCTATACATAAACCAAAACTAAAACCTAGAAGAAGAAGAAGAAAAAAGAAAAATGTCCGGGGTGTGGGTGTTCAAGAATGGTGTGTTTCGTTTGGTGGAAAACCCTCAAGCTGAGGCCTCGGATGGAAGACAAGGGAAGGGAAGTAGCTCAAAGAGAAAGGTGTTGGTTCACTTGCCAACAGGGGAAGTGGTGTCTTCCTATGCTTTTCTTGAGCAAATCTTAACTGGATTAGGGTGGGAGAGGTACTATGATGGGGACCCTGACCTCTACCAATTCCACAAACACTCTTCAATTGACCTAATTTCCCTCCCAAAAGATTTCTCCAAGTTCAACTCCATCAACATGTATGATATAGTCATCAAGAACCCCAATGTCTTCCATGTCAGGGATAAGTGAGTCCTCATTTGTTCATGTGCCACTAGTAGCTCCTCTCTCCATTCATCACCTTTCTGTGTTTTTTTTTTTCTTCTTTGGAACGGTTTTTATTGGTCTAGTTTCTCATGGTGTGCACTTATATATAAATAGCTAGCTAGAGTTTGTGGAAAGCTCTAGTGAATTAAACTCTCTTTTGGGGTTTTTCTCTTTTTGGGGTTTCTGTTTATAAGTTAGATGATTGATGGTGTGGGTGCATGATGAGTAAGTAGCATATAAGAGCTTGGTGTGCTTATGTAACATATTGGGTATTGATTTCTAATAACATTTATGCATTCCATGAATTAATTAATTCTCCGTTTCTTAATTTCTCTCTTTTTGGTTGTCCACCATATTTTTTTATCTATCATAAAAGTTTATAGCACCCCACTAAGTTATACCTCTTGTTGTCCACTGTATACGTACTTGGAAAGTGGGGAGTTAATATTTTAATTTTTAGGAAGCTTCTATTTGAGGGTGGGGGTGAGAAAGAGAAAGAGAGAGAAGAAACCCATGTTTGGTTAATTGGTTTTTTGTTTTTCACATTTTGTCATGTGTCAACATTGGGTACACTACAGTTGTGGAAAGGCAAATTGAGCACAAAGATTGAGTGGTGATAAAAAGACATGGTTTGATTGGTTCGGAGAAACAGAAAAGAGAACATGGTTTTGATAAGCACTGCTTGTCTGCCTGTTCCCAACTTCCATGGATTATCACATCTCAAAAGGTGAGGGAATTGATTGATCACGTGTCTATGTTTTCTCAGGAATTACCACGTTCTTCTATGTGAGGGATTTTGGACTAATTAATCTGAGGTTATAATTAGAATCATTAATCACTTTTAAATTATAAAATAAAGTAGCATACAATTTATCTCAACTTTTTTAATAGTATCTATTTTGTCACACTATTTAATTTGAAGCACTAAAATATAGATGTTTTTTCATATTTTTCACTTCGAAAATGTAAAGGATATATTACTACCATGTTACAAACAAAAAATTTGAGAAAACACACAAGATTTAAAAATGAACACAAGTAAATTAGAATAATCGTGTAGTTTAAATCACATCAATCTCTTGCTATATATTTTCACAAGTAATTGATGAACACGTATTCTAGTTTAGTTTTGTATAAATATTTGACTTACATAGTTTAGGAGAAATATATAACGCACATATATAAAGTGACATCCCTAAGAATTCAAGATTAATCTTTTTCCTATGTAAAATCTAGCAAAATATAATGACTATTTACAATCTATTTACATAATAATATAAGATATTATAAAATTCAATAATATAGATTTGATAAAAAAATATAAAATAAAAAAAATAACCCATCACAACAATTTGTGATTCAATTATTAATATGAAAATTATTGAAAAATATAATATCTTATTATATAAATAGATAATAAATTATTACTACATTTAGTTGGATTGACATAAAAGAGAGATTAATCTTGAACTATTAAGAGTGTTAGCTTATAATGTGTAGTTAATTAATTTGCTCTCAAAGTTTGCAAATCATAAGAGAGGCATTTAATATTTGATTTGATGATAAAAAATAAAAAAAAATCATGCTCACTAACAAATCTTTATCTTTTTATATAAAAGTCTACTTTTTATAAGTGTTTTTAAAAGTTTCTATATAAAAATAAATAATTACTTCTAATAAAACAAAACTCTTAAAAAATACTTTAAATTTGTGTTCAAATAAGTTCAAAGTGCTTATAATCTAACTCCACTGTGTATTAAATTTAAAATAATATATGTGAATTAATTGGAGTTTAAAAAAATGCTAAAGTCATTTGAGAAAACATTGTCTACCCCACATCATCATAATGTTGGTGTGAGTGACTCCAAATACTTGCGAGTGCAGTATGCTGCAAGAATATGTCATGTCCAATGGAAAACAAACAAACCAACAACACTTCCAATAGCTTGTGTGTTGGTGAAAGAGAGAAGGTTGACTGAGTCAGAGAGAATCCCGCAGCCAATGAATATGCCAACAGCTCTTGTTCTTCTTCCACTCTTAGATATCATGAAATTCTAATTTCAATTAAAAAACAATGCCATTAAAAGTGTCTAAGATGTTATACATTACATAACCTTTTCCCTTTAAAGTACTTTATACATAGTAAGAAGAAAATAAGGTCACCCAAGTCATCCCGTTTCCTATGATATCATTAAATTTGATAATAGTTATTGCAAGAGTCTAAGTGATAGGTGGCATAAATTTTATTATGCTAAGTGGCACAAAACTTAAGCAACCTTTATCATTATTATTATTATTCTTGTGCATAAATATTTTGCTTTAAAATGAAGAAAATCAAAGTGTTGTCAAGTATAAAAATGCAGACCACGCATTGTAATGGATTGGGAATGAATATACGATGTTGTGTGTGAGTTGAGAGTTGAGAGAGAGACATAAAGGCAAGGAAAGGAGAGATGGGGCTTCACGTGAGGCTGATTGTGAAAGGTACATATCGAAGCCATGGTTGCCACGTGCTCCCAACACAATCTATAATATTATATTCTGCCATCAAAATTATCCACAATTTCTTTCTTGGAATAATAATAACTCAAAGGATTTTTATTTTATCCACAACTGTAAGAGTGTCAGAGCCTCATGGGACCATATAAAGATACAATTTGTCTACATTTAACTCCTTTCAGATTTATATATATATATATACACATACACCCATGTCCAAATTCATGTCACTTCATACAAATCTGTCGTATAAAATCAGCCACCATACTTTTTTTTTATCAATAAAACATATACTAATAATGATATGAAGAATTTTACAAAATTATTTAATTGCAATACAACTATTGATTTTTATCATAATTATTTTAATATGACAAGTTTTTTACAAGACAATCCTACCATATAAAATGTGACGTGGTTAATATATAGCTTTATTCTTAAATAATGTATTCAGGAATTTATATATGATAAAAATACCATTTCTTTTGTCAACTTTTGTATTTTTCTTTTATCTTTCTGAATAAAACTAATAATGTACATGTGGTTGTCTTTCTTGTAACTGGCACATTCCTCTTGCTATTCTCACTATCCTATCTCTTCCTCTCCACACTCGGTGACACTTTTTTGTTTCTCCACACTTTCTTTTTTAAGCAACAGATCTGAAACAATTGTATTGCTGGAAACTCTTTTTCTCTTCCATTGGGTCGTTGGAGGTACTCTTACAATTTCCTTTCTTTTATTTTCACTTCCTTTTTTTGTTATTTTGTCTTTCTTTCTTGAATTGTGTTGCACAAACGATGCTAGATAATATTTTTGATGTTGTTTCAAGTGAGAGAAAAAAAAACTGAAGGAAAAACTAATTTCTTGTAAATTGAAGAGTCTAGATTACCATCTTATCCTTAACTAAAGAGTAAAAAAGCATCCTCATATCAGTTGGAAGAAAATTGAAGGCTCTTTTCTCTTAGCACCAATCTTAGCCAACAAATCTGCACATAGATTGTCCTACCATGAAGTCTGATATATCTTGCAACTATAACTGATTGCATAAAGTCTGATATATATCTTTCTAAATATTTTTTTTTTCAGTGTTACTATTTAACAAAAATTGTAAATATACATGTAAGGTTCATATTTTACAGTGAAAATAATTGAGATGCTAGTCTTCACAGAGTCCTGAGTCCTGACTATGCAGCTATGTTAAATACTCTAAGGAAGAACTTTATCACTTATAGTGATTCTGTCCGACTCAAACAAGATTGTTTTCTATGAAAAGTACTTGTGGTATAAACCAAAAAAATAATTGAGACAGTTATTAATAATATTTTTAGGGGACAATTTTGGAGAAAGAAATTTCCACTCAGGATTTATATAATTTTCGTTGATTGAATAAACTTTGAATTGCATTAAATAAAAAATACACGACATAATTTCATACTTTTTTAATAAATTTTAATAAGGAGAAATATTATGCAGACAAATGATTCCATTTTCCTTTAATTTAACTCCATGTAGTTTTAATGTATGATCTTGCTTGTCTTGTCTTCTGATTTTAATTTGTTATTGTTAGACTCTACGTTTGTACATCTGTTATAATTGTTATGTTGGAGTTGTCTTGGCTTATGATATATTTGAGAACTAAGAAATAGAAGCAAGGATGATAGCTTGGATTCTACCTTCTGAATGATGACTTTAAAAGTAGCACTAGACTTGAGAAATTATATATGCCCCTAAGGTGTTTGTAAAAATGGTTGAAACATTTAGTTTTAGTTTGTAAAGTGTAGAGGACTCTTTAATGATTTGCAACTTTCTGATTCATAAAAGCAAACTACGTATTTGAATTTGATTGGAAAGGTTGTTTTTGGTGTAAACGGTAGGATATTGAACATACCCCTCTTATTTTAGTGATGAAACATAATTTTGTATTTTGGTTCCTTTATTTATTTTTTTAATTAGGTTTTTGGATTGTTGCTTTCTGGGCTCACCATTTTTTCCTCCATGATCATTTCCCATGGAGCCATTTGAAAATGTCACTAATTAACCATTTGAGACAGCAAAGAAGATTATTCTTCAAGCATAACATATACTTTTCCAACATTTTCTTTCATACATGTTTTGTTTGAATTTGATATACTTAAATAGGTTTTTTTTTTCATTCGGAACTTCACTTGGATATTTTTACAATGCATATTGGCTTCAGTAGAAGAATGCAAGATTTAAAATGAATGGAAGAAAACGTAAATGACTGCTGCCCATCTCAGTTACATATAATTAGTAATTATAGGTGTTGACCTTGTTGTTTTCATTACTATGAATCTGTTTAAATATAATTTAGAAGTATTATTGAGAATTCATCTACTGAAAATAAAAAGTATTTAATTTATAGTAGAAAAACTCTCAAAAACATTTTTAAACTTGTATTCAAATAGATTCTATGTTTATTTAATGATTGTTCGCATTCTCCTCTTCTAGTAAAGGTTGTGCATACCATGGAGCAGCCTTGCTGCTTTTTCTTTTGTTTTAGTTTTGTATATATAAATGGAATACTCATATTTGGTGTCCAGTTTTTTTAAGACATTTATACTTCTCTATCATATTTCAATATATTCTTACTAATGTATCTTTTAAGGATAAAATAAGGGGGGAAATGTATACCCAATAAGTTACCTATCCACTCCAATATTAACTGTCCACATTTTTTTATGGAGGCACAGAGTGTTTCCAGTACTAGTTAAGAGTAATGAATCTTTACGAAGGAATCTCCTCAGCATCAAACAATGTTAGTACTATTTGCCATAGGATCAAACTCAAACATGCCAGGCTTTCAAATGAGAGATGTGATTGAGTAGGGGAAGAAGTACTTAATTTGACTGTTAAATAAAGGCTATGTTTGTGACTCCAACCGTACTTCAAAAAATACAAGTGAAATGTTTCTCTTAATGGACAATCAATGTACATTCACCAGCTAGAAATGACAATCCAAACAACCTTAAAGATATGCGTACATGAGGAATGCCAAACTAATAATGCTAGGACCGTTGTTTATATTATTATACATTTAATTGCACTTTTGTCTCATTTTACATTTAAAAAAGTAGGCAATCTCAGTTACCTATTATATGCCTAATTGCTTATTAGGTTCATTGTAACTTTTTCCATTTTCGGTTATTTTGAAAGATCAAGCAAATGTTCATTTTACTTCTCTGGATAATCCTAAATGAAACTAGCTTATGAGGTGATAGAATGCAAGTACTATGTTACTTGAATGTTGCGCAGAGCAGTTTTATGGGAGTTTTTTTTTTTCCTTTGTAAAAAATATTTCAATCTTCCAAATGATGGTGTTTATGATCCATGGTATATATTGCTTTCGCTATAGGAAATATAATTTTTTTTTATAAAAGTACAACAGAATAATTTATAATAGAAGAATTTTAGATTACAGTCATTTTCCAAGGAAGAGATACAAAGTTATCAACCAAAACAATGTAATCTTAATTACTCATGACTTCGCTTCAGAATATGGTCAGGTTTGTGACGATGAATATCTTCTGCAACCAATCTATGGGTTTTCCTTCTGAAAACAATTTCTGATTACCATTTCTCCTCTAATTGATTAATCCTATACTCTTGAATGCGGCAGTTTTGGCACTGAAGGTGATTTGTCCGGACAAAGATAATCGGACTTCACATCACAGAACTGATGCTAAAAACCTAAGATATTTGGATATTTTTTTAATGTAGTTTACCTTAGACTCAAACATATAGATTAAATCAAATCATCTTATTTGATTTGGTTTGTCGCGTCCATGAGTTGGTTCAATCCAATAAATTTCTTAACATAGAAATCATGCCTCAACACATTGCAGTTCCTATAAGACGCCAAAAATAACAATCATGAGCAAGACTTTTGTTGAAATTATTTTAATATTATCCTAATTTTTTTATTTATTGTGCTTACAGGCCTGATGCAAGAATTACGAACTACTCTCCTTGAGGATTGTCCCGAGGCCAAGATTGAAATCTTTTAGCGCCACAAGAATATAATTCTTTCTGCTTACTTCTCTTTGGGGTTATTGGTGCGACGATGGAGACATTAAAAACAAAACCTAATAAATATTTTCAAAAATATAGATCTGAAAATAGAAGTCGTTTCCAAGAAATAACAAAAAAATGGAAGTACATATTTTTTAAAGCAACCTAGCATCATTTAACAAGACGTTAGAAGTGGTTCTTTCGATTTGGGCACACCATAGTTCATCCATAAACTTATCTACATCTCTAAGCTTGTAATCAAAACAGATAACGGCTCGTTTCCTAGTATCCAGCTCGATACTCAGCTATATTTCTCATCAGATTACATGAAATTTCAAGCTTGTTTGTAATGGTAGTCATCTATGGTAGAGTATACTAAACCATCATCTCCAAGAGTCTTCAGCGACAACCTGGCATCATAAACAGAATAGCCGAGTTACATCATGAGCAAATGCTTCACGTAATATCAAGACAAAAGGATACGTAAGGGAAGTGACATGATCTTATCCATTGGAAGCTTGAGCTCTCGTGATAGTTCATTAACATGTATTCCACGTTCATCTGACCTGCAATTTAAAACCAAATTTACAAAACATTCAGCATCATAACTCAAAGTTAATTGTGTGGTGAGAATCTAAATAATCCTACATTTGTTGAATATTAAATGAATGGTATGAAGCAAAAACACTTTGAATGTACAACTTACATATCTGAATGCTGATGTAGGTAGTCAATAACCAATTTATCACAATCCTTAAGTCCATCCACGCTATATTGTGCATATCCCTGAAATGAGGAAAATCGTATCATCAATCATCAATCCAAATAAATAAATGTAGCAAATAACAACTGTCATATCAAATCTCATACTGGATTTGATGATGGTGCCTGAGATCCATTTGGTTCACTTTTGACAGGAGTGTTAAAAGACGTAACAGATGAAGGATTTGTTGAAGTGATTCCTTCCACCTATAATCCAAACAAAAGGAAATACATTTTAAATAATAAGTATGTGCACTTGAGCAAAGCACATAGCTGTGCATGTCGATGGTGAACACTTCTAATGATCCTATAAATGGATTATACACAATACTCGATTTACAGAATTCCTGGGAAATTTATGCAGTATCCACTGCCATCAATCATCATACTATGATCTAATACTATGCAGATGGAATGAAAAAATTGTGTGCACCTTTACTTTGGAGCGGAGATGGCTATGAATGCAATCAATAAAGTGAAAAGGGATCTCATCAAAGTTTGTCACGGGCCTGTGAAACACCACAAATATGAAGTAAGCATATGATAAAACCATCAAACCAATTTGCCAAATATTTTTTTCTCAAACCAGAGAAAACTGCATATATCATAATCTGGAAAATTCCTTTTCAGTGACAAGATATCACGAACGCTTTGTAATTCACAAGTAAACATGCCATTCTGAACAAATATAACTTCAACTTAATGCATAATACAATTTCAAAAATACAATAGGAAACAGAACTAAAATCAACAAATTACGCAGCTTTTGATCTAGTGACATGAATTAATATCAATTATGCTAAAGGTTATAAATGTTACTCGGTTAACTCCAAAATTAAATTTTTTTACAAATTAAACATGTTGCAAAAGGATTTCATCTGAAATCATGCTAAATAATTTAAACTTACACCATGAAATCAAAACTACAAAATCTGTGAGGTTAATAAATCTACAGATTTATAAATTACTGTGAAAAGGAAACTCTGAAAAACTTTGAATATCTAGATAATCTTAATAATGACCAGCAGAAACACAAAAATACCCAAAAGACACTCAGCAATCCACAACTTATAGGTACCTCCATCTTTTTTTCTGGTTTGCTTTGATGGAAAAAAAATTATAACGGAATAAATGAGTACAAAATGATATGCTTAAATGTTAAATACAACAGAAGAAACTAACATCTAATAAGAACCTTTGATACATCCCAAGTTAAACCTCTTAAAACAGCCAAAGCACACCCCAGAGGAAATGCAGTCCAGTAAAAAACACCCTAATGCATATCAGCAACAGCTCCCAAGCTCAGTGAGAAAACCCACAATTAGCAGGTCTCAAAACATTCAAAGCAACCAAGTAATAGTGCTTTGAATCATCGACGAAATCAATAATCAGTAATATTCTATTATATTCAATGGTTCTACACCCAGGCTGAACACTTTTAACATCTATTCTACTAGCAATAAGGGGAATGAATAATAAGTTGAGTCAATTTTTGAATTGGTTCTGGCAATAAATATCTAACTCCTTGGTCCTTGCATATACCCCCCTCAACCAATTTATATTTTCGTCAATGAAGCCTTCAGTAAGGCACGACATATCTAAGCAAACCAGTGTTGCACCTTGATTGAAGCACCTAACCTGGGAGCAGGTGAGAGCCCCCAAAAAGGTGAATAGCGTTGAACCAAACCCAATCAGCACCTTTTCCTAATACATAATAGTGTATCAACTTTGATGAACCTGACCAACCACAATAATGACCCTGAGAGTCACCCGGTTTTTCAATATCAAATGCCCTGAACATTAGATATTGTAATCTATGCTTTGACCATTTCAAGCTCAAAATGAGCGAGTTATTTGTCACCTCATGCTCTGAACAGAACAATACTCCAAAATCTCAGAACACACTCTAGAACTTCACTCCGTTTTACAATTAGATAGCTAAGGTAATGACATAAACAAGGATTATCTCTTCTTCATAACTGACAGAAAATCACATTTCTCTTGTAACTAACATACAAAAATTAGTAACTGATACAATATAACACAAAAGGGGTCTAGCGCACATGCCTGACAGAGAATGCGACAAGTTGCCTAACTCCTTGAAAGCTCTTCAAATGCCCATAAACACGAACGTACATACCATCACTATCATTAAATAACGAGGTTAGAAATATAACAACCACAAACCCGAACATAAGCTTCCATAGTTAAAAACTTACTTTACTTGCTCCATTTCCTTTGTGTCAAAAGTCTCATTAACCCTAATCAAACAACCAAAAAGAAGTCAGACTACTTTCCACAACATATATTACTGGGAAACTATCCAAAATAGGTCATAAATAGTAAAGATTCAGCACAAGCACACATAAGTTGAAATCAAGTTAAATCCAAAGTAGCATCTAGAATGCACGAAATACCATCTTCGACATTTGATTCGCCCAGTCCCATCATCCAAAACAAAATTGACATCAGTGTTCCTCTCAACTTTCTCATACACCATTCCAACCAGCGTTACCTAAACCAGAAATATATGAAACAAATGTTAAAGCATAATAAAATAAAAATTACGATGTAAAACTAAAATTTTATCTTACTTATTTTACTTGTATAAAGGCCTGTTTGGGTGTCCTTTTCTAGAAGCACTTATAAATATATATATATATATATATATATATATATATAAAGAAAAAAATAAAATAAACTTCTCTATAAATTAAGACTAAGTTATGCATAAACTAATTTATAAAAGCTCACTTTTACGAACTTCTCCAAAATCTATTTGTATAAGCTAATTTAAACTTAAGGAAAAACCTATTTCCCTCCTTTCTATTTTTTTCCTGGTAAAAGTGTTTTTAAAGAAATTTATCCAAACACATAATAAATAAAGAACATAGCATAGCATCATCATAAAATACTGATAAGACGAAAGTGAGTAATGAAGCACGAGGCTTACGTTGTTGAGATCTACACCGTTGATGGCAAAATTTGACTTTTCATCACCGGATTGAGAGGCTTCACTTATCTGCTTCACCGTCACCGGCACCAAACCCTGACTGTCGCGGCTCTTCAGCGATCAAACACGGAAACCGAATCAGTCAAGCACAGTGTGTCGCTTCCGAAACACAAAAGAAACAAACATTTACACCTAATTTGGCTATCACCGAAACAATTGACGCTTTAACGAAAGACTTTACTCAACTCACTTTGTGAAAAAACAAATTATCATTCGTTAGAGGAAGAGAGAAAGCGTACCTTGGACGCAGCAGGGGAGGAATCGTTGAGTTGAGAGGGCTGAGAGGACGTGAATCCGCCGCCGGAGAAGGCGGCGGCGGCGTCGAATTGGGAACTGGAGAACATTTGCGAAACCCTAGAGAGAGAAGTGGAAGAGACAATGCTATGTGTTTGTTATGCTTAGCGAAAGTGAAGAACGAAATGAAATGAAATGAATTAATCGAAATATGGGTTTCATTTTGTGTTGATTCCCGCCACTTACGATTCCTTTTTCCCGCGCTGTTTAGGGTTTCAACTTTCGCTACCTCTCCGTGCTGCGAAGTGTCAATGTCAACTAATGCTTTTTAAGAAATTATAAGAGTAAATTAAATTACTCCTCTCTTCCTTTAATAGTAGATAATAATATTGCATAATCTCTGTTAAAAATTTGCAAATTAGCTCATTTAATTAACGTCATTAACAAAAATTGCACTCTTGATATAATTATTATATTATTTATTATTTATATTAAATATAAAATAAATTATATTTTCATTTCAGAGACGTGAATATTATAATATTATTCTCTTGTTATATTAAAATATTTAATTTAACATAACTAAAGAATATTTATTATAAGATTTTAAAATATGTAATTAATTTTAGTAAAGTTCATAATAGTTTTTAAAATAATAATTAAATGTGTAAATAAAGACATGAAGTATTAAAAGTGTAACATGATATGATTATATTTGTTAAAGAGAAAAGTGTTTATTTTAACAAAAGAAAAAATAGTGGTATAATATTTATATTTTTGAGAAAATGTTAGTATAAAGGATGTTTTGTTGATAACTTTTTGTATTACATAACTCTAAAAAAAAAAATTAAAAAGTAGGTAAAATATCATATATTAAAAGGCATGACAATATTATATTTGTATCTCTTGAAGGAGATAAGTGTAACTTAACAAAATAATAATGTTAGATTAGATTTGGATCTTAATGGATTGGTGCTTAATTGTCTACATTTCTCTATTTTTCAAGTTAAGATATAAAATTTGATATTATTATTATTATAAAAGTAGCACAAGAAAAATGACATTATAAAATACTTTAACACTTATTTTCCTTAACTAAGATTTGGAGTTCAATTTTTGATTTAGACAAAAAAAATGTAATTAGAGTGATTAATTTACGTTGAGAATGATAAATGTACACAAAAGTAAATATTTTTTTCTTAACATGATCCATTTCATTCTTAATGTCAAAATTCGAAATCTAAACAACTTAGGTAAAGAACATAAGTTGTTGCCACTTATATTAACCAATGTTAGTATAAAATACACAAGTTTTAAGAATAGGTTTATGAAATTATGTCATCAACTTATTTTTAAATGTGTTTGGTAAGAAGAATAAGAAAAATTAATAAAGTGATAAATTTAATATATTTTTTATAATTTTCTACATTTATTCTAAAATAAAAATGTTATGGAAGTAACACGTTTTTTATGGTGAAAATTTGTTTTTATCAAACATAATAAAGTAGAGAAAGAGTTAACGTAATAATGTATAACCGTCTTTGATAGAGAGTATAAAAAAATATAAATTTTGTGTATATTTATAAAACCAATGTTATTTCAAATAACTCTTCTTTTTTTTTGCATTTTGTCAAACTTTTATATCTTTAATAATTATTTTTAATATTTAATACCTTCTTTTCTTTTTGCACACTAAAACTATAAGTGCAAACACTCTTATTAACCGTAAATTCTCGTCTCATCATGTTCTTGAAAATTTTAATCACATTCTCAAAATCTCAACCTTCTACTTGTTTACACTCAACGGATCAAAATCAATCCAATGTCAATCCTTCGTTTAATTTGATGTAAAATTATCGCTCTTTACTAATTCATATTTAAGAACACCAACATCGACTTCTAGCAGACCATATAAAATATATTTAATAACGTTTTGAACGCAATTGTCAACCGTTTATGTTTTTTCTAAAATCAACATGATATATATAACATTCCAAATCTGACAAGACAACGATTGTCAGAAAAGTTAATTATTTGTTTAATCATATATTAGTAATTTTAATTTTTTTTAACTTTTAATTTTAATTTTAATTTTTTATAGTTTTGTTTCGCATTGGTAAAAAAGAATCACAAAAATAAATAGTACAAATAGATCTCTTAAATTTTATAATTTAATTATTTAATAAATAAGATAATTGCAACTTTATAAATGAACTATTGAAGTATAAGAATGTTGAGTTATTGGTGAAGTCCATTTAATAACTTTTTGAAGGTGCTGGATTGAAGAGATGGTTTGCCTGTGAGGTGCTTCAATTTAAAAAGTTTTTCTGCAGCATAAAACTTCTTTTTTATTTTAAAAAAGAGTTAAAAATGAAGTTGTGTATAAATGGAACGCATTTAAGAACGTTGATACTCTTAGATGCTGAGAAGTGCCTTACATGCAGCATTTCCGGTAGTTGATCTTTTCAGGCCTATATACCATCTACAACACAAAAATTACCTATTTCGAAGTTCGGAAGCAAGATCTTTCTTAAGGGGAATCAAGCATCAAGCTTGTACCATTTAAAGAAAAGTGCCAAATTTAAAACTCCTTGAAAAATAAGTTTATTTGTTTCTCTGTTACAATTAATTCTAGCGCTGCTTTTTTATTTTAACATTCATATAAACAATAAAAGTAACATTTTATTACCACTGTTTCTGTACAACTAGTAAAAATTAAGAAATTAAAATAAAAATGCAACATTTTGCCATTATTATTTATAAAAAATGAGAAGTGAACAGGTAATCAATTTTCCAAAACTGAGGATGTTGTAGTTTAATTGGCCGAAGTACAAGCAAATAAATATCAAGGCATGTGCACAGAACCAATCTCAGAGAAGAAATTCACCATGGTTGAAGCAAAACCCAGGTGTATTCCCATTTCTACAGAAATGACCAAAAGTCACTACATTAAGAACAAAACAATTACCTATCGCCTATGCAAAAATATTTTTTCTGAAACACTATTTCCAAATACGTACTATCACAATATGTAAATACATGGATTCCCGATAGTGATGCCTCAACCTCAACATGTTCTTTTGGGTTACCCTAATGTTAAGAGAGACAATAATTATAGTATTTGTTGGAAGCAAATATTTATCTGCAGTTGGAACTTCAGATAGACAGGCAAATGCGCTCGCAACAGTTGAGACAGAAAGGATATGGCATTAAGTAATTTCTTTCTCTACATAAGATAAGCTTATCATGGTTGAGCTAATTTTGCCAAAATAACTAAGTCTAAAATCTTAACATCTAAGGTATCGTCTACCTTTACAATGCCATCGGTGCCATCCACACCAATCAACTTACCAGTGGCACCACGCAATGCCCCACCCATAATCTTTATCTTGTCTGATTTTCTTGGTACCACTGCCTCAATTTCATTAGGAAGGCCTGTGATCGTTTCACCATTCCCACTAGACCCAAGACCTACCTTGTAAGACCCATCCTGAACAAACAATGCCAACGTCATTAAACAGAAACCAAGCAAACCAAATGGAATGTACAAGCAAGCTACTATGTCAAGTCACCATACCGGAAGAACCTCTCTTATAACTCCAATAGATTCGTCTCCAGCCCTGTGTACATTGACTAATATATCTGGCATGAACCATGGCCCTTCATGATCCCCACCTACAAAATTATATGGCAAACTTGAGTAAGAAAAGTACATTATATTTTTTGTTTGTTAATGATCCAATCCGATCAAATTAGTAGTACAAGTAATAGATCCAGTATCATGCTTGGTACAAAAATGGAAAGGTTAACAATTATCCTTATGGGAATGTCTCCATGGTATAGACACGAGACAAGATATGGCGTGTGAACTAAAATCATCCTAATAGAATTGCAAATATATGAACTTAAACCACCTAAATAAATTTGTAGAAATGAATAGCAACAAGAAAACAATGTTTGAATCAGAATAACAACTCCATCCTTGTCCATGTTTGACTAACAAGCGGCACAGACAAATACTTTGTGCTAACAATCATCTTCATATTAAATGAACATAACAGGTGTAGAATAACAATTAAGAAAACCAATGAGGTAAGAGTCGTCCTTCATATCTCAAGGACCAAGCTTTTTGTAACCAAATTAGGTACATCGCAAAGTTGTGGTTTGATAATGTAACCAAATAGACAAGCCAAAAAACAGATAATGTACATTCACAAACAAAAGCTTACCTAAAACTGGAGACATCATGTCCATACCACCTGTGCCCGGAGTCATAGGCTGTCCTCCAGGGGTACCAGGAAGATAAGATGCTGAACTTGGTGTCATAGGCTGCCCACCAGGTGTTGATGGTAAATATGGGCTTGGAGCATTGGCTGCAATTGATTTGATGTATAGAAATATTAGCATAAAAATAGAACTACAAGTATACAACTGATTTGAAGGGACAAGAGGTAGTGCTACCATATGCAGAATTGTCCCGTGGTGTTCCAGCTTCACTATAATTTCCACCGGGGGTGCTTGCCCAACCAGCACCAGGAGTTGGGGCTTCATATGGCCGAGAAGGAGGGCTTCCGGGCTGAAAAGATTAAAAGGGAAGAGACAATAAATATGATATGAAGTTGCAGAGTATCTCAAGTCAAGTTTGCTAAATCTCCTGACCTGATACTGTGGACTGGTTCCCCAAGAGCCTGGATTTCCATCTTCCCAGTTATCCCTATTTTACCATAAGAATTCATACATCACACATCACATATGCTACTAGCTTAATAGTTCTGCAGACTGTAATTAGGTAAAAATGCTTTTATCTACCAAATTGCTCATAACCAAAAGCAGTCTAGCTCTAGTAGCTTCTGTTTGGGTCAATGATGCCTATTTGAAAGCTGATTAAATTAGACATTTTATTCTGCGTTTTCCTTTTCTTGTTAGATAAAATAATTTTACAAAGTGCCCCGCAAGGCATACAAATTGGAAAGAAAAATATTTTTATTAAATTAGAAACTGTAAACAAAAATCAGAGAGCAGTATATATTAGCTCAATGAGGAAAAATGATGTTTGGACAAACCTTGGAGGACTCATTGGAGTATAAGGATTCCATGCCCGGTCACGCATAGGTGTCCTCATTCCATCATGAATAGGTGTTGCTAGAAATAGCAGTACATTTAACAATTAGCAGTTAACAAACAGTCAAACATCAGACTCAAGTGTTAATCCTACAAAATAAGTGAAAATCTACAACAATAAAAATTATAAAATCAAACAAACCTCCAGGATCTCTCATAGGAGTCATATATGGATGCAAAGGAGTCCGAGAAGGATGCATTGGGGTTT